AATTGTCGTTCGCGCTATATATGTTTTATTGTAAATTACCGCGAAAATTTCCATAAATTATCAAAATTATAATTTTTAATTGTGATTTATGCTTTACATATTTTTATGAATTTTAGACAAAATTTCTATAAATTACCGCATAAATTTCCATAAATTACCTCGAAAATTTCCGTAAATTACCGAAATAAAAATTTTTAATTGTCGTTCGCGCTATATATATTTTTGTGAATTACCTCAAAAATTTCCATAAACATTTTAAATCAAATTTTAACTATTTTATAGAATTCAAAAAGCAAAGAATTTTTTTCTAATTTGTTTAAAAAAATTAAAAAATTATAAAAAATTTTTCCGGCCCACCATGGATATTTATTTCTTGACACTTTATCTTCAAAAATATGTATTGATATTTATCATTTTGATAAAAAATTATTTTTAAAGTTTCAGACACCAAATCGTGCGCTACGTGGAGAATCACCCATTGTAGAGAAAAATTTGTTTCCGCCACTTTGAAAATTTTTATAATCGAAGGGACTACAAAGCTTCCTCCACGAGAAAGCAAAAAATAATTATATAATATAATTATATATAATATTATATTATATAATTATATAGTTATAAAAGAAAATAATGCTGTCAAATTAATTTTTGTATCAATAAACATTAATGAACATGAAGAAAATTAATTCCTAACTCGCTACAACTAGTGCTACTACATATTCACATACACACAAACACACACTATTAAAGTGTACGCGCGAAGTTTGTATACGCCTCTCTCTATTACGGCAGAGTTTGGTAACACAGGTCGACACCAGAAAAGATTCAAAAATCGGACCATGATATTCTGATAGATCAAAAAGTACCCATCACGTCGAGATTTTGAGAAAAAAGAACTCAAAATGAAAACCTGTTTCATCTCCTTTTTGATCACATGTTGAAAGTGATCCAGAGGTGCTAGAAGTCTCTCCTTACGCTTAAATTAAAGCCTGAACCTTCATTTAATAGAAGTAAATTAAAAAATCTACTTATTTATAATGTTTAGTTATTGAATTTACTGTTTTTTGGGGTCGCTGAATACAAATATAAGATCAAAATTAGAAAATTCAAAATGACGGATCCAAATTGTCGGACATGGAATTTTAAAAATTAATGGATTTGATTGAAACTTTAAACAAAATTTTATGTCCGCCATTTTGAATTTTCTAATTTTGACCTCATATTTGTATTCAGCGACCCCAAAATCAGTAAATTCAGTAACTAAAAATTATAAATACACGGAAAAACTTTGTGCAAGAATCATTCCTAAATTTGTTCAGGAACTGAGGATATGAGAATAATTTAAGAAATCTTATTTATATTTTCTTTGAAAAATTCTAAGCAGTATTTCTATAAGAATTGTAGAGAAATTCAAGACAACTTCCTAAACTCACTACAGAAAGTCTTGAACTTGTTTTAGAATAAATTTTTACGTTTGCGAGAAAAAAAATTTACTCTGGGAGGACTCGATCCCACGTCCTCGAGAGTACAAAAACTCCGCTTTACATCTCTCAGCTACCTTAGCAGCTTATGGTATTATGCATTGGAAACATATTTGACGCAACCAATCCCTGCCTAGTGCTTGGTTACTGTACTGTGTCTTCTAAAACAGTTCAAGAAACTTTCAACACCCAGTGACTGAGATATTCCGATCGCGGCATTAACAAGAAGTCTTCCAATGTCATTATAAAAATACAAGTATTTTCTTGAATGATTTTTGTATTTTTCTGTAAATTTTACAGAATTTTTCTCATATCCTCAGTTCCTGAACAAATTTAGGAATGATTCTTGAACAAAGTTTTTCCGTGTAAGTATGCCTCTGTATACCGCTGAATAGGTGTATGTAGTGTGCGCGCGCTAATCTAAAAGTGAGACATGAATCTAAAATCAATTTTTGAAAATTAAAAATGTCGGACAAATTTTAATAATTTGATAGTATTCGTTTGAAACTCGTTACTTGGGGATTTTCGGGGTCGATGATTACGAATCTGAAATCCATTTTTAAAAAATCAAAATGGACGATAAAATATGTCGGACAAATTTTAAAAAATTTATCGGATTCGTTTGAAACTCGTTACTTGGGGGTTTTCGGAGTCGGTGATTACGAATACGGTGTTAGTTTTTCAAAATTCAAAATAAGCGATCTAATATGGCGAACAAATTTTAAAAACTTTAACAAATTCGTTTATACATCGATACTCTAGGGTTTTTGTGGTATCAGGAATGAAAAGAAATTGAAAATCTATGTTATAATTACCAATTTAGTTTGTAAGTGTTTATCAATGCGAAATGAAAAATATTACAAAACAATTTTTAATATTGGATACATTTTTAATTTTTAAAAATTGACTTTAAAGTTGTAAGCAACGAATTAGCAAACCCTGAGTAACAACCCGGTAAGAAGCGAAGAATTGAAAAGAATTCAGAAACTGAATTCCTTTGAAAGGGTGAATTTACGTTTTTATTCAATTCCTCGATGAAGCAAAAAAAGTAGAAAAATCTATTCTTCTTAATTGACTTGGCCAAAATTTATACTCTAAATTATACATATAACCTGACGCAGTCAATTGTAAAACATAGAAATGCCACATTTATTCTCCACATTTTCTATTCCTCTAAATGCGCTCCAAATGGCCTGACATACAGTCAATGTGTAGAAATAACCAATCGTTCAAATTTGATTAAAACTTTCTACTCAGGGGTTTTCGGGGTCGCTGATTACAAATCCGGTGTAAACGACTCCAAAAAACTACCAAATAGTTAGTTTTCAGTAAATTCGATGTATTGTAAATTTATAAGAAATTCATTTACCATATTAAATTTGAAATTCTTGAAAATGACTTAAAGATTTTTAAACAGCGTGCTTTTCCTATCATAATCGCCAAAAAGAGAACATCAATTTTTTTAACCTTGTATTCTTTTCAGTAGACCAGGTCACAAATTTTGAAATATATGCGAGAGCTTCATAAAGCAATGGAATTCGAACGATTTACAAAAAGTCCGCCATATTGGAAATAAATTGTTTCTAAATTTTTTTTTTAATATTATAATACGTCACGCAATTTTTTGTCCTTTACGACCCCCTCCCCTCTGGCTGCGTAACGTATTACATATGTGCACAGCCCCCTACATAAATTTTAAATTTGACCAATGAGTCGTTAAGGGGAGATTCCTATTGCGACAGACAAAATCAACACAAACTTTGACAATTTTTTTCGGGGAACGGTTATGACTTAGTGATGTTGATTTATTTTTTAAAAAAAGGTACATCCTTGAAATTTTAAAACATACATTTTATTTTCCAAAAATTTTAAAATGGCGACCAATATGGCGCACCTTTATACCGTTATACCTTTAAAATAATTAAAAATTTAAACAAATGACAAAATGTCTGCCACTTTTTTAAAACACTGCGTTTTTTGCCTTATTTTCTCATGTTTGACCTGATGTAAAAAATCCTTATTGTTAACTATTGTATCATTTTAAAGGTATAACGTACCCTAGCAGAATTTAGTTACCTTTAAATTGATTGGTAAAATTGTTTAGACGCTACGATGCCCACCATTTTGAAAAATCTTGTTTCGAGAAAAAAATGTTTAAAGTTTCGACAACATTTTTATGTTTTATGTGTAATATTTGTCTACTCTAAAAAAATTGATTCAGTTTGCCTGAAATTCGTTACTCAAGGGTTTTTGAGGTCGCTGATTACGTATATGATGTCAGATTTTCAAAACTGAAAATAGCTGATCCAATATTGCGGTCGACTTACGACCTTAGCGGCACTTAGTTTTGGAATGTCGATGAGTTCAAAACGCTGTAGAAACGAAAATATTCTTCAGATCAAAAAATCGCTTTACACACATATGTAGCTTTCAAAAATGCATTAAATAAAAAATCGATTTTTTTACTCCCGCAATGGGTACCTCCCTTTAATCAAAATAAAAATTCACCGAATTTTTATTTGTCTTAATAAACAATCGATACCCATGTAGCACGTAATATTAAAATGTCAGCCTCATCGTAGGGGAGAGTGGGGAGTTGTACTCCGAGTTTTGTTTTTCAATCAAAACTATTGTATAATTTTTTTTACTATTCTATTATATACAACTTTTAGTACACGTAGTATACTAATATTACTATAATATTATTGTAATATTACGTGCTACTTAAGTTGTTTCAAAAGAAATTCTATTAATTGCAATTTCGAAAAATGAACACTCATGTAAAAAATAATTATATAAAGTAGTAGTTCACGTGACAATTTTTTAAAATCTGGCTATAAATATGTTGTTTTTATTACAATAAAACATATTTTTTATAAAAAATTATAAAAATACTCTCATTGTTAGAAATGTTGTAAATTTCCATAAAAATATATAAATTTTTGAACAATAATAGCAAGTTTTTATATTGAAATAAAAAATGTACTATCTTTGAAAAACAGTTTATTAATAAAAATATAATATAAAATATAATATAAAAAACATTCTGTCAAGAACAAGTTTTTCTCATTCGTTGAGAATATCATTTTCCCTTTCACTGCTACTCGAATACCAATACTGAAAAAAAATCTGGTTATAATGCTTAAATTATTTAATTATAATTTTTAAACAAAGTTGAAATAAAAAATGTACTGTCTTTGAAAAACAGTTTATTAATAAAATAAATAAATAAATCTCCATTATAAAATATAATATAAAAAACATAAAAATAAATAAAAATTAAATATAATATAATAAATAATTATAATAAAACTAATATAATAGTTAATATAAGTAGTTAGTTATAAGTACTAACTACTACTATAAGTACTTATACTAACTTATAGTTAGTTAATATAAGTTATAACTAGTTAATAACTAACTAATATAATAGTTTTTTATAATATTATTAATATTAATATATTAATATTAATTAAATTTTTTATTTAAATAAAATTTTTATTTTATTTTTATGTTTCGGTTCACTTTTATTCTTTCACTTCCTCCTCTCTCTTTCTTCCTCATACACTCTCTCCTCTCCATCCACTCTCTCCTCTCCATCCACTCTCTCCTCTTCATCCACTCTCTCCTCTTCATCCACTCTCTCCTCTTCATCCACTCTCTCCTCTTCATCCACTCTCTCCTCTTCATCCACTCTCTCCTCTTCATCCACTCTCTCCTCTCCATCCACTCTCTCCTCTTCATCCACTCTCTCCTCTTCATCCACTCTCTCCTCTTCATCCACTTCCTCTTCTTCCTCTTTATCCTCTCCCTCCTCTTCTTCCTCTCCCTCCTCTTCATCTACTCCCTCTTCCTCCTCTTCTTCATCCTCTTTTTCTTGTTCCTCCGTTAGTTCTTTACAAAATGATCTGCAATGAAAAACAATATGTTTAATATTTTTTCAATAATGCGACAACTGATTAGCATTATTTTTTTGGAAAAACTTCTGAATTAGGAAATTTGTATAAATATACATTTTGTTGCATTTTTTAAAATTAAGTATTGTTATAACTTACTTATCACGTCTGCAGTTAACTGCTTTGTGAACCCACATATTAAAATTCTCCTCGTAATGTTTCTCGTCCACACCATGGATTGTATGATCCTCATTTCTTTGAATTTTTTTTACGACACCTAGATAATGAATAATTCTTTATAATTCAAATGTGATAGAATTTTATTACTTAGAAATAACTTAGCTAAAATTATATTTTTTCGAATTTGTATTTAACAGTATTTTTATTTAACCGATTTTCAATAACAGTCAATAACTAAAAATTTCTGTCTAATTCCCGGTTTTCCTGGTGTGTGGGTGTGACTGCATATTTACGCAGTGGAGTTTTTATAAAAAACAAAGTGTTTAATACATACGTCTGATATTGTCGTAATCTTTGTATTGGATTTTAATCCAATTTTTCTTGGATACCCCCAATGGCTTTTTGTTGCCAACAAATTGAATTTTTTTAGGAGGCCAGTAGCCAGAGGCAATTTTGCGAACTCTGGCACTGATAGTCGTCGCATCCAAGGCTTCATTAAAAGCGTCTTTACAAATTTGGACTCCAGCACAAGTAACCTAGAAATATTTTAAATAATTGTTTCAATTATTATTATCTCATATTGAAAATAGAGTTGAATTTTTTTCAAACACTAAAGGAACATTCACAAATGAGGTTGATCCTGTTGATAGAATTTCGATAATTCCAACCTCTAAATCGCAGGCTATTTAATCAGACTTTAAAATTAAGAGGTTTTAAATAAGAATAGGGTCATTTCTTAAAAATAACTTTCAGTATCTTAAATACCACTATTATTGGGATTTTAATCATGAACTCTTAAGGTACATTCTTAATTTAAATTAATAACAAGTTATTAATAAAATCACAAGCTTTGCAGTGGTTAGTTAGAACAAAATAGTAACATACTGTTTATAATAATTTGTGTGAATATTTAAAGTTAAATCAAAACCATTAAAAAAAATATACGTACGGATTTCTTGAAACATTAATATTTATATTTTCTAGACAACTTTAAGTAACGAAATTTAGGCAAAAATAAGCACTTTTCCTGCAAATCGATGCCATTTCGCGAAAAATGAATTATTTTAAAAACGAATACGTATTTCGGTAGATTTTGAGCTGCAAAAACTAAAGCTTTTTTTATCTAGCTCAAATGTAGACCGAGTTATAGTGCCCACCGCACAGCGATACATTTTTGAAGCACTCCGCCATATCATTTGTCAGACCGACATTTTTGAAGAAAAAATGTTTTTTTAGTTCTAGAGTAGTGTAATACCCAACTGTATTTTAATTTTTTGAAAAAAATTCTATTCTTCAATAAAAATGGTTGAAAAAGCGTATTTTTTGGTCGGGTCAAATTAATCGGACATTTTTTTAAGTTCACGATATTCGCTTGAAACTTGTTATTCGGGGGTTTACAGGGTCGCTGATTACGAATCTGTAGTCAAATTTTGAAACTTTCATAATTCAAAATGGCGGATCCAATATGTCGGAGATATATTTATAAAATCAAAGTTTTTCGCTTGGAATTTCTTAAACAGGGGTTTTTGTGGTCGCTGATTACGAATCGGAAGTCATAATTTTAAAAATTTCTAAAATTCACAATGGCGGATTCAAGATGCCGGACAATTTTTTTCAAATTCACTATATTTGCTTGAAACTTGTTCCTCGGGGGTTTTCAGGGTCGTTGATTACGACTCCGAAAATTTTTTTGAATTTTTGAAAAATTAATATAATTTACGGCAACTTATTACTAAAGGATTTTCAAGGTCGCTAATCACGAATCTGACATTAAATTCGTAATAAGCGACACCGTAAACCCCTGAGTAACAAGATTCAAACTAATATAGCGAATTTTAAGAAAATTGTTCGCCGACTTGGATCCGTCGTTTTGAATTTTGAAAAACGGACACCGGATTCGTGTTCAGCGACCTGAAAAACCCCTATATAAAAAGTTTTATTAAAATTCAAAAAAAAATTTTCATTTGCAATTTGGGCACTTTCTTCAAAATTAAAACCGCAGCTAAGAGATTAAAAATACAAATTAAATGTATATTTGTCAAAACAAATTTTTTATATTTTTGAAAAGCAGATCATCGGTATCTGGCTCCATATTTTATCTCAGCTACTTTTGTCAAGGTATACTGACTCGAAAAATAGTGCAGTCAGTTTTGAAGCTGATATGTCATTGGTCGATAATTAAAAAAAAAATTGTAAATAAAGTTGGTTATGTTTTTGTTTATTAAGTGCCAGTGATGAAAACTTTTTTTAGGTTAATTATTTTTTGTATAAATTATAAATTTACAGTTAAATAAGTATAATTGTTTCATCGCAATGTTTTATAATATTTTGATCTGAAAAATAAATATTTATTCGATTTTGTAAATACTGGTAAAGGTTAATTCCTTAATTGTCAAGTTATATGTTAAGAAATTCCATACTATCGAGAATTGGAACCGAACCTCAAGAAATTGGTATACGTCCATCGACAAATGGTGATTATCCTTAATTGACGTTTAAAAACAATTTTTATCTGGCACTATAATTTATTTTAGAAAACTAATTATGAATATTAAACATTCCCGTGCACAAATTGCCACTTTTCATCCCGATTACCGACCTGGACCCGATCCGATTTCCTGTTCTGGCCCCGGGTTAGTAAATTATTATTGGCCCAACCAAGGCCAGGCCTGGTTACCATATTTAAAAATTTTTAAAAACTAGTAAAAATACATTTATAATATTTTGTGAAATTTTTTACACTCTAAATCTGAATTAGTAAAAATGTTTACTAATTTGAATTAGTGACTCACTTTATGCTTATTAATTAGTAAAATTTTACTAATTTGAATTAGTGACTCACTTTTTGCTTATTAATTAGTAAAATTTTACTAATTTGAATTAGTGACTCACTTTTTCCTTAGTGGTTAATAAAATGTTACTAACAATTAGTAAAATTTAACTAATTCTAAAGCAAAAAGTGAGTCCCTCTTAAATTTTACGAATTGTTAGTAAAATTTACTAATAATTAGTAAAATTTTACTAATTCATAAGCAAAAAGTTAGTCACTAATTTAAATTAGTAAACATTTTTATTAATTCAGAATTGGAGAGTAAACGAAATAATTATTCAAATAATTTTTTTCAACTTACATTTCGTTTTCATTTTGTAAGGTGTTTTTTTAAATGCAGATTCATAAAATAAAATAATATTGATTAATTCTATTGTTTTATTTATCAATTAGAGAAAAATAATTATAATTTGTTGAAAATTACAATTACTATAAGATCGGGCAAATTACCATGACCCTGGTCGGGTCCCGACTACGATTCCAAATCGGGAAAATTGGCATGGCCCCGGTCGGGTTCCCTGTTTCATTTCGATCGGGTCCAGATCAGATTGCCAGATCTGGTCCAGATCGTGCCCGGTCTCGGCCCGACCAGGACCAGGTCAAATTTTCTGCACGGGTTATTAAATTTTTGCCCAAGTGCACAAAATTAAGGCGGGTATAATATTTAATTTTTTTTTTCATTTATTTAAAATGAATGTATCCCATATTTCAAGAATATTGTACTTCTTGACTTACTTCCCTAGGTAACTACAAAAAGCTTTTTTTTAATAATTATTAATTATACAGTAAAAATTAGATCGATTTTATAAGCGAAAATCGGGTTTTTGGGGTTCAAATGCTACGAAAAATAAAAAAAATTCTTTCGTAGTTAGCTCGAATTAACGATACCGCCCTTGATTATTATCTTAAAAATAATTTATCGTAATTCTATCAAGGTCTCCAACCTAAGTGTTTATAAATCGAATGGTAGAACTTTAATTTTAAATTTTCTAGCGAAAAGAATGAATTGGGTGCATACCGTATTTGAGTCACTATTCCGCGCAGATGTCTTTTTCTTCTTTTTTTTCAAGTCTTCCCTCACATTTTCTAATTGTTTTAAAATTTGACTCTCCTTCTCGTTCTTTAGAATATGCATTTCTTCTTTTAAACGGAGGTTTTCCGCTTTTAAAACTGCATTTTCAGCTGTTAACTGCATATATTTTTTATTTAAAATTTTATTCAACTTCCTCGTTTTAGGGCACGTGTTGCACTTTTCCACCTTAAAACAGTAGTGTATTAGAGAACAAGGATACATAAAAATATCTTACAAAAGTAAAAATAAAGAAACTATAAAATAAAAACAGGTAATTTAAAAAGATTTTTAAAAACTATGTATAAGGTACAAAGACCTACACAAGAAAACTGATTGAAATGTAGTGTGAAGGAAATATAGAATATCAGTTTCATTAAGTTTCATTTCATTAACAAGTTAAGGTTGGCGAGGAGGAAAATGAAATCGTTTATACAAAATATACTCTAGTATATTTTGTATAAACGATTTCATTTTAAATCATAATCTGCTTTACGCAAAAAGACCTTACGTGGAAACACAAGTTTTCGAGAAAATAGCTGATAAAGCTAAAACAGACACTTTATTCGTGTTTGCCCACTTTTTTCTTAAGGGGTTAGTACTACATCTCAGTGACTTTTCTTAAATATTTTTCATTTATTACAAAATTTATTTTATTTACTTCAAATTTTTTGCACCTAAAAGAAGGGGTTTAAACTATTTAAAAAAAATTTATTCCTTATTTATAATTGATTATCTTGCTGTCATGGCCGCCTGAAAATACCCCTACTTTTGCGACAAGATACATAATATACATGTATATACTCTGTTCCAGGAGAAATCGATATTTTTCCTGACGAATTTGGGCCCTTTACGCGCAGAAAATTATAAAAGGAGGCGTATATTATTTTCCGTTTCAGCAAATAAGCTTTCTCTTTCAATTTCTTTTAAATTTGAAGAAACATGTGTATTGAGGAGTAAATTTTTTTTATCCATTTTAGGGTCGTTTAGATTTTATGGCATTTTGGTGCAAAATAAAAAATATTCAAATCCAAAGAAATAATTTTTTAAATATTAAATTTACCATTTGCAGATTTTGACGATTCCAACGATATAAATTTTTACGTCTAAATATTAAAATTTGCTTTTGAAAAAGTTATATAATTTCATGATTTACATATGTACAAACTTTAATCTTATAGTATTTGCAAAAAAATTTATACCGTTGTAATTGTTTCAACCTGTACATTGCAAATATAATATTTATATAATTATTTTTTTAAATTCCAACAATTTTTAATGTTGCAATGAAAAGCCATAAAACCATAAAAAACCCTTCCGACTGCCTTTTGAAGACCAGGCTCAGAAAAAAATCTAGAAAACGCCTTTTTCACTTACAAATACACCCTCTTACAACAAGATGCGCAGAAAAATATCGATCTCTCCTGGAACAGAGTATATATACTTTTATAAACATATTTATATATATATATATATATATATGTAATTTGATATATATTTATATTTATATACGTATATATTTATTATAAAAGCATATATTGTATTTGCGAAAGAGTACGCTCCATGAGCGCGTGACTTTTACATTGTACCCCGTTTTTCGATATGTTACCGAAGTTTCCAACCAAAATTATAGTTTCCACAGCATTTCTACATATATCTACTACAAGAATATGTAGTTTTTAGAAAATCGATTTTCCTGAAAAAAGATGTGGTACTAACCCTTTAACACTTTTATTAAAATCTTCGAAAAATTATAACTTTCTGCTTTCTAACATGTGAAAGAGCGTCTTAAACTATTCCAATTGACAAAGAAATGAAAAATGATTTAACACCCAAGGTCTCTTTTTGTAGATCATGTCACATATATTGAATTATTATGCTTACTTGAGTCACTTCAGTTTTGTTTAAAATGGGCACGGTTTCTGTTGTATAATCATCAACAGCAGGAGGAATTATTATTTCTTCAGTTATTTTTTGCTGAAAGTAAAATGCAATTAAACAACGCATATGTATGCAAAAAATGTACACAGCCGTTCAATTGAATTTGCCCACACTATTGCAATTCTTAAATGTGTAATTGCTATTAAAATTAAACAATATTTACAATTTTTTTGTCACTTTTAAAGAAATTTAGCTTTTTAACATATCACATATAAATTTCATTCTTTACAAAATTACTTGTAATTTATTTATAACACAGATAAGTTATTGTGTTTAAAACTATGCTTACATTATTTAAAAAAGCGGCGAAACTACTCGCGTCAGCGGTTTTTATTTCCTCTTGTCGGACAACCTTCTGTACATCCTGAAATCAATTTTAACTTATACTTCTTCAAGTATTAGATTCATATTAGATTAAATAAGAATTAAATATAGTAAGATTAGTCCAAATGAGAATTAGATTAAATATATTTATATATGAAATTAGTGACTGTTATAATTTATTAATAAGATTTATAAGAAGGCTTTAAGGTAAAAAAAATTATTTATCCATTATAAAAATAAATTATTGTGTTGATGTTTCGGGTCGGTACCAACCTATCTTCAGGGCTAAAAAAATATAAATAACATAAATTAGTTTTAAAATACTTCAATGATTAACAATTAAAAAACATGTAGATATAAAATTAAATAACTCGGAATAAATATTAACTATTACAAATTATTATGATCACTATGAAGGATCGATATTAACACATAGATATAACGGAGACTGAAGTTAGGTGACAACTAAAATTTAAATTTGAATCTCAAAAACTGTTATTGTTGAGAATCAGAACTAATTTTTATAATTGTTAGTATTTATTCCGAGTGGTATGTTATTTAATTTTACTAGCATCATATCATCTCTCGCTAACATTTGCTCGGTTGAAATTGTAATTCTTATTGTTTACTTATATCAGTTCCGTCATATGTATTTATTTTATTTTTTAAATTAAGATTATATTAAATTATTATCTTCAAATTTTACATTTTTTAGAAATTTTTTAATACTTTTCATAAATAAATAATTTATTCTAACGAATATAATGAGTTGTTTCAAAGAGTTGGTACCGACCAGAAACGTCGACACAATAATTTATTTTTATAATAAATAAATAATTTTTTGACCGATAAGCCTTTTTATAAATCATACTAATAGATTAAATGAAATTTAGACAACAAAAAAATTAGGTCAAATAAATATGTAATACTGTAAGACGGGGTTATTTCACTATATGAGTTTGCTCACTGCGGATAAATTTGCTTACCAAGTTATCTGCTTCAAATTATCTTTAAACTAAATTTTGATACTTCCATGAACAAATTCAGAGTCATATGGGCATTATTCTAGAACTTTTAAACTTTGAGATTGAAGAAAATTGATTTTTTTTTTGACGCACATTCATGAAATTAATTTTATTGGCTTTAGAATTGATCAAATGACAGAAAAAACTTTGAGTGATTCATTTTTACACAATGTTATTTTTATTTGTAACATAACGTGTTACGTTACTCGTAAAATTAGTTTTTTTGCTTATGGCCTCGTTTTCAGAAGCTAGTATATAAAATTATAAGTTCGCGCATCAAAAACAGACGAATTTACTACTTTTATTTACTATCATTGTTTTTTACATATTCATAATAAGTAATAAACACTTGTTACATGTAAAACGAACAATCTTGAACTGTGGTGTTGAAAAGTTATATTTAAATTTCTTAAGGTATCATAATGAGCGACAACATAAAGTTTGAAAGTTCTAGAACAATGCCCATATACGCAGTATAGGGGAATGTATCCATGAGTGGACTCATGAGATTATTAGTGTTATACCCAATTTGTATCCATGAGTGGCCGTATATAAATCGTCGAGTGTTCTGTATATAAAAATGATACTGCATTCACACCACTGTGCTAAATTTGACCTCCTGCGTTTACAAATTTTTAAAATGTCATTAAAAGCATTAAAAAAGAAATCTGACGAAGAAAAAAAGTTTAAAAAATTTTTAAAATTAAGTAGAAAAAAAGATATTTCATTTGCAACATTTGTAACACTGAAATTAATTGAAATGCACTAATATTGTTGTTTGTTTGAATGTTCTAAGTGTTTATAATAAATAAATATTCTATAAGCATTGAAATCCTTTAATGTTTATTTGATTTTTAATCATTTGTTAACCATTTCAGCAGGTGATCCACTTATGGAAACAAATTTATCTTGTCAAAAGAACATCACTTAACAAAATCAAACTAAAAATGTTTCTTTGAAGCTTAAAAAAAAGTCTCAATATATATAATACATATATGACTGATTCTCCGCGTACCGCACCATGTGGTGTCTGAAACTTTAAAAATATTTTTTTATGGAAATGATAAATACCAATACATATTTTTGAAGATAAAGTGTCAAGAAATATTCATATTCTAATTTTTTTAATCAAATTTAAAAAAAATTCTTTGCTTTTTGAATTCTATAAAATATTTGAAGTTTGATTTAAAATGTTTATGGAAATTTTTGAGGTAATTCACAAAAATATATATAGCGCGAACGACAATTAAAAATTTTGATTTCGGTAATTTACGGAAATATTAGAGGAAATTTATGGAAATTTTTTCTAAAATTCACAAAAATATGTAAAGCATAAATCACAATTAAAAATTTTAATTTTGATAATTTTCGGAAATTTCCGCGGTAATTTATGGAAATTTTTGCGGTAATTTAAACAAATATATTTATAGCGCGAACGACAATTAAAAATTTTATTTCGGTAATTTATGGAAATTTATACGGTAATTTATAGAAATTTATTTGTAAATTTACCGGAGCTATGATAGTTTATAATAAATATTTTTAATCTCGTTTGTTTCATTGTAGTATTAAACTTGCATTAGTGACGGTGGAAATTCTGATGCCGGTGGGGACGCAGTGGTCGGTGGGACCGGCGTTGATAATTTTTGTTTCTTTGCGAAAATTATTATTTATTTTTAATTGGTTTCATATGTTTCACATTTATATAGACTGCACCCCGTTTAGAAAATGAAAACTGGTCCTAGCTTAGTCCTATCTATTTTGCCCCATTATTAACTAGGTCTAGCTTAGTCCTACAATGGTTTGTGATGCGATTTTACCACAATTAATACTAACTTTCTAGAAGGAATATCCTGTAAGTTTTAAATTAAACTCTTGAGAGTTAAATTAAAATTTAAACCCTACGGGAATCACCCCAGACGCATGACCTAAAGAACGCTTTAACGACCGCGGCTACATAACCTAAATAGATATTTTTATTTGATTTGTCTATATAAATTTTCACTTTCACTGTAAGTGTTTTATGTTGTCAAATAATGGATTTAAAACATTATATTGCATTGGTAATTTGTTTAAACAATTTATTGTTATTTATACTGATATTAACATTTTTTGTAGTGCACCTAGAAAGATGCAGTTTTTTCCTAATTTTACAATTTATCAAGTCGAATATAAAGCCAGATAGATTTGATGTAAAATTATTAATTCAACAATTGTTTAAACAATTTATTGTTGTTATTTATTAACTTTTTTGTAGTGCACCTAGGAAGATGCAGCTTTTTCCTAATTTTACAATAGAAAAAAATACTGCATTTTTCTAGGAAAATTGTGAAAAATGTTAATAAATAGAAAAAATTATTTATTTAAACAATTTAACATAATAGTTGTTGCAAATTTAATTCTATATTTTATTTTATTTATAACCCTTAAATTAATAACTACTAAGAGAAGGTAACAAATTTATAAAATTGTCTATGTCTAAATTGTCTTATTGTCTATGTGTATTTAAAAAAGTTATAAATTATGAACAATAAATTGTTTAAACAAATAAAAATTCAACAACATATTTTTGAAATATATTATTTGTCAATATATATAACAATTAAATAAATTAACAAATATAACTATGGAAAAATGTTTTTAAATATTTACTGCAAATTAATAAATAATTAAAACCATGTAAATAATTATCAATTAATTAAATAAGTATTATCTGAGAATATTTTAAAAATCCTAAATTAAATCACTTTTTTCATAAAAAAAAATTTCTAACACTTAAGTAGATGTTCTAGCTAAATCCAAGTTAGGACCGGTCCAAAATATATAAACTGGGGCTGCCAATGTAGGATCAATGTTGGGCCAACAATCATTTTAGACATACGTTGGTAATTTCTACACGGGTAATAATATAACTACACGTTATTTAACCTTCATTATTTCATTATTATTTTTTATTTTTATTATTTTCGAAGGGTCGGTGGATACCGGCGGAGACGATTTTGTGATGCCCTGTACAAATTTGAATCTTGAAATGTGTAAGAAAAGGATAAATCAATTAGAAAATTGATTACATTCTTCATGGATCAACTTAAGGAATATAACTTTTGCTGTTACTGAAGTAGAAGTATATTAACATTTGACTTTTATTTAAATAATTCAATGTTTAATAATAAAACGCAGAACAACACACAAAATCCAGTCAAGTAAAAAAAGCAAAAAAAAAGAAAATAATTATTTTTTTGATCAAACGTTTTTTTATTCAATTCTACTAAAATATGCAATACTAAAATTTCAACAGTAATCGTATTTATTAATGCACATTGCTAAAAAAAATTAATTTTTTTGTTTAAACATCCTGTGGGGACAGGTCAAATTTTGACTTTTTCAACCTTAAAAACCACTTTTCATGAAAAACTATAATGTTAAATACAAAAGTAACTATTGGTTTTTGTTTGTAATCACAAAAATTACCTTTTTACATTGAAATCGAAATATTATGTAAACATTATTTGTGATTTTTCTTTTACAACATGAAATAAAGAAGTTGTGCGCTACGCGGAGAATCACCCATATTACAAATATATATATATATATATATATATATATATATATATATATAAGTTATAGCTGAGTACAATATCTATTTAACGGTGTATTATATATAATTAAATATATTTGTATTATATATGTGTATTATATATTATTTTAAATATCCTTCACTGAAAACAATTATTTGAGTAAATAAAAAGGTGGTCCACTAATGGATACAATCCCCTATTGAAAATAAGCCTTGAAGTTGAAAATAAATGAAGGGCTACCACCAAGGTATATATGAGGCGAAATTTTTGAAGTTAACGTTAATTGCGCATTCAACAAGTCCTATGTAAAGTAATTTGCATAAGTAGATTGTCAATATACAATTGCAATGCTAATTAATTGTTTATTAACAATCTACTTATCCAAAATACGAATTACGTAAATCACGGAAAATTTATTTGTTTATGAAATATTTTATTTTTTTATTAACATTACATAATTAATTAAATAATATCTCGAAAACAAAAAAACAACATTTTGTTTAATTTGTTAATTAAAAACATACATTTTAAGCTTCATTTTAAGGTGTAAAAAAAATAAAGACGGTCTTTTATTAAAAACAATAAAAATATTTTTCATTTTCAAAAAAGGGGTATATCCTGAATTTTAACAGAAAATTTTACACCATTTGAAAGAGCAGAGAAAAAAATTTCAAGGTCACATAATTCAATGTTTACATTTTGCTTATTGTTAGACTTCAAGAAATTCGCCCCCACACACACACATGTATATATATATATATATTTCAGACAATATTATATTATTTATAACCATACCTTATTTAATGTTGGTGCCCGTTTTAGTACTTTTTGTTTCGGTTTTTTCCCTACATCTTCTATTTCCTTTCTTTTTTTAGGAGCACATATTAATGGCGGAGTATATTTATTATACTCCCCTTTCTCTCGTTTTCCTCTTCCATATTCTGTGATGAGGCAATGTAATATTAAAAAATATTAGCGGGGGATAAGGTACTTCAATTTTTTTATTCTTTAAATGAATAAAAAAAAAGGAAAATTTCTGTTTTTTATTAAATAACCTTCCGTAATTACTTTATTTTTAAAGCAACTTTTTCCGATATACCATTTGAATGAGCGCGATTAAGCCATAAGAAATATCTATAGCCAAATTCCTTTAGACAAAAAATTGTAATAATATATATAGAAAAACATTTTTTTTCTAAATCATTGATCATAAACTTTGTGAACTTGACCAACGTTGAATTTTAGAGAATTATTATTCCAGAAATGTTTTAAAGAATGTTGCACAAAAAGTGTTCACAAATTTGAATTTAGTTAATAGAAATACTATTGACTAATAATATTTGGTTAAACATATATTTAATTGAAGAAACACTTCAGTTTAATAAAAATTGTATTTCATAAGAATTTTGCTAGTCATAATTTCTTTTAAATAGAAGTTTAGAAAATTTATTCTTACAATTCTCATTTAATTCTTTTAATAATTAATAAAAAAACTCAATATATAAGAAAATCTGTTAAATAAAAATTTGAGTAAGTAGAAATTCCATTTAATCACAATATAGTTGAACACAAATTTTTATAAATTTTCAGGGTTGCAACAGAAATTTGTTTTTTAATTTTCATGACTTTTCAGGTTTTTCAGGACAAGTTTTGATAAATTTCCAGGTCCTCATTTTAACAATATTAATTAGAATTTTGTCAATTTTTATACCGAAAATAGTTAATTTATTATATTATCATATATATTATATTATTATATTAACATATGATATTAGGAGGAATTCTTTGAAAAAAAGCAAACCTCAAAAAAGTTCTTAAATTGGCTTGATACTCAGATAA